ATACAAAATATCATAGTTGCTCCTGGTTCTTGATAATTTTAAATAGCTGAAAATGCTAATGCGAAACAAAGATATTTTAATTTAAGACCCGCTGTAGTTCTTAGGGCCCTAAGTTACAGTCTATCTAGCTTAAACGTGAATCCAACCTTGGTTGTATTTCTGTTAGAGGTGATTATACTCCGTACTGAAGGTACTTTTTCTATTCCAAACTGACGCATCTGATTTATTCATTTCATACATATGATAATTTCTGTAACACCATAATTGTCCAGTTCATACTTTTAAAGTTATTTTATACATTATTATGTGCACTATAATGTGTGTCAGTTAGTACATTAAATTCTATGTGTCACTTTTGGAGTTACGGTCATTTTTGGGATTTTTCCTCAATATATGATCACCAGTGAATATCTTAATAATTAAGATTCATTTGTCTTAGAGTTGATGGAAATTCAGAGAATTTAAAGTTAAGTATAATAAACTTAGGAAACGTGATTCATGGGATAAAAGACTTAGGGAGGAAAAATGTTTTGTTTAACATTAATTGTAGGTAGTCAGTAACTTTTTTCCTTTTTCAAAAATAAAGTATGAGCCCTTATGTAGGTATATATAAAATAAATATCTTAACTTTGTATTGATATCTTATTCTGATTTTCACTCTCTTAATTTCAGACATGCCAACTTGATTTTAAATTTATTTTCTCTCATGGTGGATGCCAGTGTCCCAGATATTGCCTTGGAACCTGACAAAACTGTGAAAAAAGTAATGGCAATTACTCTAGTTTTTTTTTACTTATTTTTATGTATTATTTATTTATCATGCAATTTATGAAAAAATGTCACCCTCTCTGTAGGAATTGCATATCATAAATTTTAGGTTTCTTACTGTATTTATAGTATTCTCTCAAAACACAGGACAGCTTGATGTTTCCTAATATGTTTATACCTTCTCCTAAACACAGAACAGTTTCATATGTTTTTTAACGTGTTTATTGTATTCTCCCTACATACAGAACAGTGTAGTATGTTTATAGTAGTCTCTCTAAATACAGGACTTGGGACTGAAGATTCTGAAAAGTAAAAAAGCATTTGTATTGCATTTTCTTCCGTAAATTGAATTTAAACATATAAAAATCAAATTAAATTATTTAAAAAGGAGTAAATACTTTTTATTTATATTTCTGTATTAAAATACTGTAGACCCTCGTTAATTCAAATTTATTAGGACCTTAAATGTTTGATTTATCAAAAATTGTAATTATCTGAAATTCCGGTTATTACTGATTTTTGTTGACATAGTCTAGACACAAAACTGTGTCTTTTAGTCATGATATATCATTGAAGATTTATTGCTCATTTTTCTTAATATGACTGTGATGGGGCATTATATTCATTTCACATTTCCTAGCTTTTAAATTTCCTTTATTTTTTAAATTTAATCATTTCAAAATCCTTTAAATAAATAAATCAGTTAATTTTTTTCCATTCAATTTTATTAAGAGCAAATGCAAATATTTCTATTCTCAATAAATATAACTTTATTTTTTCAATGCAAGTGTATAACTAATTATTATTTAGCATCACAACAAGAGAGCATCAAAATCTATTTTTAACCATTCTTTCTTCAACCACATTAAACATATGTATTGTTAAATTTCCAACAAATTTTTTGGCCTTAAGTCTTTAGCTAGATTTTAATAATGTGGGGTTGGCTTTATTTTTGGCTATATTCTTTTTCGATAACTCGCAAATATTTTAATTTCTTCCTGTGCGCCCAAGCATCGGGTAGCGAGTACCCATTCACTGCTAATTTGAATTGCTTGATGTGAGGACTAGGAGAGGGAGTTGTAGGGCTTTCAATGTTTCCTCTGTCCAACCGTTAATTATTTTTTTAAAAAATCATACTATTATTGTATTTGTTCCTTTCATCAATTTTCATACTAAAATTTTTGTGCAGCTCAAAATATTTTATATGAGCTGCTGAAAAATATCTTAGATTATAATAAAATTCTTTTCATTGCAACTTGCGTTTGATTGTTTCTGTTACTGAGGTTACATCATTTCTGAAATGGAAACGAATCAATTTAGTCAGTGTTCACTTTCGAAGGCTGTATTATAAGTTTTATTTAGTTGGCGTATGTATTAAATCATACTTTTTGTGATAAGGTATCAGTCATATTTAAAAAATTATGAATCTCGCGTTTAAATTATAGCATTTTCTATATTAAATTGTATTTAAATCTGTTTTATGTATGTTCTTTATTTGAGCATTGCTCATTTTGAAATTATTTATTTAAACTTCTTTTGTTCTCAAAAAGATTATGTAAATTTGTTCTATCCAATTTAACATGGTTCTCACATTAATTAAAAACCATATTTTGTAATTTTTATGTTATTGTACAAGCAATTATTTTTTATACTTATATGATGAATATTTTTGCCAAGATTCTTTTCATCTTTTTATTCTTATTATTTTCATATTATTTTAGCATTAACATCTGCTTGAATTACCCGAAATTTCGAATTATGAGGTTCTGCTATATTAAGTCAGTCAATAGAGGAGGATTGTTAAAAGATTATTGTAGATAATTGTTGAACAAAAAAACAGTTTTATTTATTAAAACTTTTTTTTTGATCAAAAAATAAATCATAAAATGAACCAAACATCTTTTTTATGATATCCATATGTTCTAAAATCTTAGTAAAACATCTTTTTTTTGTTACAATTTTAATTATTTTTGTAAAAATGCCTTATAAAGACTGTGAAGTACTAAACTCTGAATTTTCTGAGGAGAGTATATTTTTTAGAATATTTATTTGAGTTCAATTTATAAATTTAATGAACTATGGAGAATTATCATTATAAAAACTATGTCAAGAATGATTGTACCTATGTCCTGCCAAACCACTATATTTCAGGCTTGAGTAAAAAAAAAAAGGTTTGATCTATCAAAAACACTATTACCATTATTGGAAATTTTTTTTAAAAAAATTTTATTACGTACCAAATTTAAAAATGGCCCATTTTTTATTATAGAAAATGTTTTATTAAACAGAAACGTAATTTTGAAAGTATATAGGTTTTCGTTTATTAAAAAAGGTATGTTGTTTGGTCAGTGACATTTTTTAAATTGGAAATAGCTTTAAAACATGCTCTAACAAGATTCAGAATACATTTTGAAACTATCGAAAGCTGATAGCACAAGCCTGGCCAAGTCTTAAAAAATGGGTGCCTATTTTTGAGTGTTTGAAACATGTTAACTGTTATTTCCAATTTGTATATTTTTGAAAAGAATGAAGTTTTTAATCAAGTAACAATGAAACTGTTGAGTTACCAGCCAATCCTTTTTGAAAAGAGTGCATGTTCTGAAAATGGAACATTGATGTTTAAATGGTTATTTAAAATTATCCAAATTCCTTAGTAAATATTTAATACTTTCTCAAAGCAGCTTATTCCTCATTAGAAACATAGGTGGATTGCTATAAAATTTCCTTCAATTTTTTTTTTTAGATTATTAGCTTTTTTAGATGATAACTCTTTTAACTTAAACATCTTTTTTAGGTGCAAGATAAGTTTCGATTAGATCTACCAGATGAAGAGGCTGTGCACTATATACAAAATATCATTGATGACAGTGTCACCGCTGTAATGCCAGTCGTTGTTGAACAAATACACAGGATAGCCCAAGTAAGTACAAAACATTAAGTTTTAGAGAGTAAAAAAGTTTTTTTTACAGTCTTTTGATGCTTAAACACTGGAAAATTTGAAACTATGGAATGCACATTTTTGTACCTTTATTTGTGCTCCATTCATATTGTTTTTCTTTATTTATATGTGATACAAAATATTATTCATCCATTTCGATAATTAAAACTAATCTATATCAGTTCTAAACATTTCAACATTTAGCATTTTTCTTTTTTAAAAAAATTGGAATTATTTCAATACAAATATTTCTGTGTGTACCCTAAAACTGTAAAAGTCTGGAATCTTCAAATTTGTCTTCTTATTCTTTTTTTTTTATTTATTTTTAATTAATACGAAATGTAAAAACTGATTTTAGAATTTCAACCTTTTAAAAAATATATCTTTAAGATGAAATTAGATATGGTGATTAAAATATTTTGGAATGCATGTAATGTTTTGTTTTTTTGAACTTAATAATGTAAAGTTTATGAAGATTTTGATATCAAGCTTATTGGTTCTTTATTTTTTTCAGTACTGGAGAAGATAAAAGTACTAGATTCAGCTTCAGACTTTTTGTGCCATGTAATTTAAACAATGATGTATAATTCAATATATATCTATATATAAATATATATACATATGTACAAAATAATGTAAAGTTTTATGCAAAATGTATTTTCCTAAATAAATGTTTACATTAATTTTATGCCTTGTACTTTTATAAGTTTTTTTTAAATTAGAAATAGTACATTTAAGTAAAATGAGTGAAAAACTTAAGAGTGTTTAACAACGTGACAAAATTTTTTTTAAACAAAAGTGCAACTGAGAGGGGAAGCAAATAATTTTTATTTATTTTTTCCTTTGCTTGTGAAGTCCTTACATAGTCAATCAAAGCATAGTCATAAAAGCTCTGTACTTCTGTTCAAAGAATTACTAGCGTACTGAAAGTTACAATTCGTTTCACTCGTTTGAAATGTTTTTATACCTCTTACTTAAATAGTTGTTGAACACTAGACTTATTAATGTTGTTAGATAAGAACATGATTTACATTTAACTAAATACTTCCAAAAAATATAAAACTCTCTTTCCTTTCAACCATATGTAGTTGGAAATACTTGAAACTGCTGTATTTTTAACTGTATTCCTTTAAAGATTCTGACAAATAATTCAGTGCATAAATGATTATGACCTATTCATATCTGCTGCTTTTCTGCCATTAGCAAGGCTCTTACACCTTGGGGAAAACCTGCATAAAATCTGGGGGGGATGAAAACTTCCAAGCTTTTCTTTCTTTTCTTAAAGAAACTTTTAAGAAATCTATAACAGATACTATAATAACAAATAGATAAGACAGATACTGTATATATTTGGTTGCTTGGGGTAATAAATACTTAAATGTGTGATGATTTTGGTTGATAATAATTGACATTAATTTTTTTATGCGTTTAAGGTTTTATTGATGTGTTTTGTGCTGCAATGGTATATGTTCCTGATCACAGTTATTGTGTATGCTGCAAATTGTTGTTTTAGAGTTAAATTTTTTTTTCTTCAGAAAATTCTTAGTCCACCAAGAATAAACACGTTTTTTTACTTTTGAAAACTATGTTTTTCAAAAAGATTGACTGTATAAATCAGCGATAATAATTTTTGTAAAAGGCTGTTTTAATATCAGTTTTAAAGGCTTTGATATTAGAATGATCTTGTTCTTGCAGACTTAAATTTTAAAATTCATCTGATTTTATGAACCAATGAATCTGGGGCATATCTTTGTATCATCTTTTTACTTCTAATATCTTTATGGTGAAAATCTATAATTTTCATTTAAATTCATATTTTTTTCTAGTTAAATTTTTTAGTTATGATTCGCTCTGGCTTGACTCTACCCCTGGATTTGCATTTAAAATATGTGTACTCTAGATTCAAATCAATGATGCCTAAGGCAGCAGGAGTCAACCAGTTACGAGTTTGCGCAAGCGAAGGACAGTTTGTAAAAGTGAAGTGGTAAGTTTGTGAAAGCGGTCCATCTGCTTGCCGATTAGCATTTCATTTATTTATATTTTCAAAAAATGCAAGGTTAATAAACGAATTTAGCCTCTACTATTTACACTTAAAATGCTAATTATGCCATAGATTCTAGAAAATGTCGAAGAAGGATTCAGGACAAAGTGGAACTACAATTAGATGAGTGTGTAAGCACTGAAATTGTAAATAATATTTTTATTGATCTATTTGTTAATTGTATTTTTAAGTAAATGATTCATCTATTCAATTGAAACTTAGCTAATGTAACTTGTTCGGCTGCAAGAAATACTGCAATGTGAGTATGAAACCCTGTTTTCTGAATTGTTCTATTCTTTGACATTGTTAGCTATTGTGTGTATTATTTTGAGCGCGTTGGGTCTCTAGTTTTGCCAGTTGGTTGCAATTAGATTGCTAATCGGTTGATTAATAAATCGCTGGAATATTTACTTCCAAAATCACTCGTCATTCTTGGGGAATTTGGCTGGTGTGGGATGCTTTTTTTCGAGCGATTAACACTTCAACTGGCCATGTTTGGCATTAAACAAGTTTATTGCTAAACCTGACACCAAATAAATGAAATAAATAAAAATTGGTAGTATGATTTTCTAAGTTTTTCATTGCATAAACCTATTGTTCGTCACAGAGATTTAAATACCTGACCCCAAATTAATAATCTAAATAAGAAATGGTTCGTTTTTTTTTTTTTTTTTACATTTAAATTGTGCATATTAAAAATACATTGATAGAGATATGATTTTTAGATTTCTTTTGTATTAGACTAGGAATCGATACCATCTAGCACTGTCTGAAATTAAATAAAATACACAAATAAAAAAAGAAAGAAAGAATAACTGGTAGCACAATTATTTCTGAATTTGTTTATGTCTCGTTGAAACAAAATATTATTGACAACCACGATAGATAAGTAATTTTTAGCCACTAATTCGGATCTAACCGTCGAATTAGAAATTTTTAATAATTTAGCCTAGCTATAAGCTAACGTGGTAAAGATTTATTTAATATGTGCATGAATTTACCATTATTCTTTTCATAGTTGCGTTTTCTTCATTATTGAAATGTGAGGATTCGGCATTAATTAAAGTGTAACACGTACAGAAAAGATTATTTCCAGATTTTTATTAGCTCGTTATTGCTCAGTCTTTTTTTTAGGACTGGCTGAATTTTTACTATAAATGGTAAACAGTGAGATCAACATGATTTAATTATTCACATTCTTCTTGGAAAAACAACATTTGTAATCAGCAAAAAATATTTATAATCAGGGATTAGATTTTTTTCTCTTTGTCCCTAAAATTTCAGCCTTTTTATCAAAAACTCCGATTCTCTAAAAGTTTCGGTTTTTTCAATAAATATTCCGTTTTTTCTGAAAATTCAGTCGTTGAAATAAAATATATTTATTTCCGATTTTCAAAGATAAACAGAAAATTCAAACTACATAGCTGCCAACCCTTCAGCATTTTTACTTATTTTAGCTATTTTCTCTGCTTTTACTCGTAGAAAATAAGTTTTTCCGTATTTTTATCTGCCCTCCAGATAGCTCATATTTTCGTAATTCAGGCATCGTTGCTTCCTGGCTCGAAAGCAAACGAAATAATAAAAAAATAGCGGTGGATTTGCGGTGAAAATAATTATTTGCACATTCAATTAATCCTGTAAATTTTTATTTATTATGGCCAAACAGACAAGCCTTTTTGAAATCCCAAGTCCAGAATCTGCTAATGATGCAGAGCAAGGAGTTCCAAAATAGTAAGTGCACCAAAAACATCGATAAAGTGAGCTAAAGGGTGAGTTTGGCGAAGTCCCCTCTTGCTGTAGGGGTTGCACCCATTTAGGAATCAGTTGAAGCTGTGCATGTGTGTAGGAAGGTGACTAGGTTTAGATATGACGCCCTGGTGAGTAATATTAGCTTCTTCCCCCCTTTTGTATTACTTAATGTTATGGTATCAATATGTAATCAAGAACTTTTTAAATCATTAAAATTTAAATTAACTTTAATGTGTGTTATCTAATTTTAACTCTAATTAACATGATGCGTCTAAAAGTAGTATCAATAGGTTGTATCACTAATATCTCGATTCTTATTCACGCTATTTTAATATCAAACATCGATTTTCGTATTTACCTGATTTAGAAGTTGCGCGTTGCGATTCTTATTCACTTGATTTAAATATCGTACATTGCGATTCTTATTTACGAGATTTAAAAATCCAATATCGCGATTTGTTTTTACGTTCCTTTAAAATCGCGATTTTATTATCAAACATCGATTTTCGTATTTACCTGATTTAAAAGTTGCTCGTTGCGATTCTTATTCACGTGATTTAAATATCCTACATTGCGATTCTTAGTTATGAGATGAAGGATTTATTAGGTGAAATTCATCATCCTAACATTTTCTCATTTCTGCGAGCTATTGGTTTTTGATATTGTATATAACTGTTTGATCTGATTTATTTTCGCTTTTATTTATTACTAATGTACCATTTAATCTATATCGAGTATTTTATGTAATTAGGCTTTTGTCAGATTTTATTGACTTTTAAATATGCTTGTCTCTCAATTAACAGTTTTATTACCTTCGTGTAAAGATGAAATTATAATGTGCATTTTATAACGCGTTCTTTGGCGCTGCATATCCTCCTTTGGATTTTGTGCCAATAAACCTAACATTCAATTCAATTCACTGCTTTATATTGAAAGGAAATTTGGAGTTTTAAATGTTAGCATATTCAACTAAAATCGATCTTTCATATACATATCATTTATGTAAAGCTTGAAATGAAGCCACGCTGACTAGTGTCTTCAGAAAACTAAAAAACTTTTAGCAAAATTTCTATTAGAACATTCGGAAACTCACCTCTATCAAACTACCTAAATTAATTAAACGAGGTATCAATTAATGCATAGTTTTAGCTATAATAATGAATTGTCTTTCGCAAAACAAACAAATGCACTGTTACAGTGAAATAAAACGTGTCAAATATTTATTATTCTACTTGTCTAAACAATTCAGTCTAATTTATTTTTATAAATATTTTTTTTTAATAAAAAAATCCTAAATGATGCATCTAATATCATGTCGAAAAAGAATTTCATGAAGCACGAATGGAAATTTTTATTAAAATAAATTCGAAAATTCGGTTTAGTTTATAGATTTCTTGCCTTTATTATTTAAGCTTGTTACAATATCGCAGATACAATTTTCTGAATTTTTTCAGGAATAGTCATTTAGTAGATGCATTAAAATAAGTTTCACATAATATACGTCACGCAGTGGACAGATCGTTAAGACACGGCTCCCAGCAGATCACCGAAGTCAAGCATCACTGGCTGTGGTCAGTGTACGGGTGGGTGACCACTTGGATCAGTCTGCGTAGGGACCGAGCAACACCTCCTAGAAGTAGAAAGGCCTCAGCACGGATCAATTTAGTAGTCCGATGTGACGACGAAGTTAACTGCGCGACGAAAAATAAGTAAAATAGACGTAGTAGACGAAAAATAAGAAAAATATCATTACGTTAGGGGTACTAAGCTGCGCAGTGGTTCAAAATACAAAATGTGTCATTACGTTTGGACTACTAAGGGATATTTATGGTAACCCGTGCTGAGGCCTGTTCTATCTAGGAGGTTTTGGACCGAGGGTGTGCGGTATTGGTC